GTCACGTGTGTTCATGCATGAAATTTGTGGAGAGAGAAAGAGAGAGGGAGGGAGGGAGGGAGAGAGAGAGAGAGAGAGAGAGAGAGAATAAAATAAGTAGTGCTTTCTTTTAGATACAATTCTTTGTTTTCAACTACCAGAGCTGCAAAGATTTAGAAGTTTTGTAGAAGTCTGTGTTGGTGAGAATTTGGCCAATTTCCGCACCTGCAAGGAATAGGAAATTGGTGAGGCTTTTTTCGAAAGCAATCAGGCAGTTATTGTGGAGAGAAACAGAGAAGGTCACTGCTGTGCTCATTACAAGAAGAGACATCTGAACAGCCCACTCTGCACACCGGCTAGTTGCTCACGTGATAGTGAGTTAGTGAACACTGCAAGGACAAACTTCCTTGGCTTATTATTAAGGAAAGATTCAAGTCACAGGAAGGAAACAACTAATTTTTTGCTCTAATTTTGCAGGCACTAGAAAAATGCTTGATTTTGACATAGAGTTTACAAAGTTTGGAAAGAAAATGGTAAAAATTGGAAACAAGTCATTCGTATCAGTTAGAAAGCTGCCATAACATAGCTTTTCTTACACTGTTTATTTTGTCTGCGTATCTATGCTCAGACTCCTACCAGCACCGTGTGTAGTGGCCCAACTGCATCATCCTTACATGAAGCCAGACACTGGCCTTTATTCATTATGCCTTATTAATTAAACGAGAGTGTTATTTTTAAATTATGTTAATTTTAAGGATGTTGTCTTGGGCTCTCAAAGATTTTAAAATGACTTTAAATACTTGAGTCTTTATATATGAGCACAAGCACTCAGTTGCTAACTATCATGGCTAAAATCAAGCCCATCATAGCAATTAAAAATAAGTTGAACCTGGTGACGGAGCTGACAGAAGGACTGGAGGCGCAGAGGGAGATTAAAACCCCATTGGAAGAACAACATACCCTGGCCTGACCACCCAGTTCTCCCAGAGACTAGATCACCAACCAAGGAGTGTACCTAGAGGGATCCAGGACTCCAGATACATATGTAGCAGAGGATGGCCTTGCCTGACAGCAATGAGAGGGGAAGCCCTTAGTCCTGGGGAGGTTTGATGCCCCAGCATAGGGGGGTACTGGAGCGATGGGGCAGGAGAGGGTAGATGGGTAGGGGAGCACCCTCACACAGGCAAAGGGGAGGGGGAAGGATGCATGTCGGATGAGGGTTGGTGGAGGGGTAACCGGGAAGTGGGATATCATTTGAGATGTAAATGAATGGAACGAGGAATTAAATAAATAAATAAATAAATAAATAAATAGAATGGTGATTTTAGTTTGATATTGGGACCTGACAACTTCGTGGCAATCAGACTTACTCCCTGACTTATAAATGGCTGAAAACTGTACAGAATGGTTAAAATGTTTACCCAGTGGTTCTCAGCCTATGGGTTACAACTCCTTTGGGGTTACATATCAGATATTTACATTATAATTCATAACAGTAGCAAAAATTACAGTTATGAGGTAGCAACAAAATAATTTTGTAATTAGGGTTTATCACACCATAGAGAACTGTATTAAAAGGTCATAGGATTAGGAAGGCTGAAAACTACTGGTTTATAGCATGAATGATAGGTTTTGAGTTAATTTTATCTTTCCTTGACTTTTCATGTATTATTTAAAATGTTCAAAATGATTATAATAATTTTAATAATTATTATAAAGTTTAAAGTGAAAAATAAAAGTAGTTTTTGGATAGAGAATTGGTTTTTTAAAGAAAATTTTGTGAGTTTATATTGTCATTTAACTCCCAGAGATTATAAATCTGAATGGAAATAAATTCATCGTTTCTAACATTAAGGTGACCATGTTCATCTTCTAGAATCTGAATGACAAGTATTTTCATACCTCATCTCTAAGATGGCAATCCCAATGAACAGATAAGATTAAAAATAATTTAGTTAGGGCCAAAAAGATCACTCAGTGGATAAGCATGTGGACCTGAGTTCAAATCCCTATAAAAAGCCTGGCATGACTGTATGCATCTACAACTCCAACACTGCAGGGGTACAGAAACAGAAGGTCTCTGGTGTTTGCTGGACACCAGACTCGTTCTTAACTTAAGGGTTAAAGTACTCAGTAGACCCCCAATGGGAATGACACAAACAGTACCCTACAGGAATGGAAGGAAATAGGATTGGTGTGATCCAGGTAAATCCTGAAGAATGGAACATCAGCCTGACTCCACAGAGGACCTTTTTAGCATGAAAGGTGTATTTCATAAACTTGTTTTTACATCCAAGGCAAGAAAATTTACCTGCATACCTGTGCCTTGACCAAGGACCTCTTGCAAGGCATCCAACCCCGTGTGGTCAGGAATGGCTGCTCCAGAGGCCCTGGGCCAACTCCACAGGATAGAAGATACAGAGGCTAAGGGAGTAGCATATAGAACAGAATTGTCCCACAGGATGTGGGGAGCTGCAATAGTGCCCATGGCACCCCCAAATATCTCTTTTCCCTAGTCGATCAACAAATCAGTGTAAATATGTACACTGATGACATACAGATGAGAAAATGCATCATAAAAATGAATTCTCTCTCCCAGAGGAGGTTCTGCTGACAAAGATGAGGAACTCAATTCAAAACCCCAGAACGCATGCAAAAAGCATGGTAGACTGTACTTGCTATCCCACAACTGGGGAGGTGGAGACTAGTGACTCCTGGGGACCACTGGCCAGCCAGCCTTACCTAGTCAACAACTTCCAGGCCAGGCCAGTAAGAGCTCTGGTGTTCAAAAGGTGCGTGGCATCTTAGATGAACTGCACCAAAGATTGACCTCTGGCTTCCGTACACATGTACACATGTGCCACCCCCATGAACATATACATACCAAGGACAAGGAATCCAACCCAGTGTGGTCAGGAAAGGCTGCTCGCTCGCGCGCACACACACACACACACACACACACACACATCCCTTCTCTAGGTCAGGGCTTGCTAATCTTTTTTTTTTTTTTTTCATAAAGATGGTAGTATTACAAACTGTGTGAGTCCTAGAGTAACTGTCTTAACTGCTGTACTCAAACATTCTGAAGTGGCCACAGAAAGCATGGAAACATATAGAAATGGTTAGATCGAAATAATGCCATGTAGACATGGAACTTTGATATCATATGATTTTGATTATGAAATATACTGTTTTGGATCTTTTCCCCAACATCTAGAGATGAAAGCCATTTGTCACCTGCAAGCCGCATGCTTCACCGGCCTTGGATGTGCTGTGAACTGTGATTTGTTAGCACCAGCACAAGATTGGTGCCTTTTAGATTCTAGACTATGAATATAAGGAAAACACCTGATTTTATATTAAATATACAACATTAAACACATAGAAACACACATACATACAAGCATACACACACACACACACACACACACACGATGAGCTTGAACTCCATAAACTTGGGACTCCCTTACTGTGGAGTATAAACTCTAGAATGTTCCATTCTATCACATTTGATTTTATTTTTTAATGCTCTTGAGATCTCCTGAATTCCTTTTCCAGCTTCCCTGGGTGTCATATCATATTCAGACTGAAAAATGTTCATGGTCAATTAAAATCTGTGTTCTGGACAGGAGTGGCGTCACAGTCACTGGCCATTTCGTATTCCTCAGTGCTAATTTCACTTGGAATTTGCCTGTAAATAAAACAAAGACTGAAGAAAAACAACAACAAAGACACTATCAGAGACCTGTGAAGGACAGCCTGACAGAATTGCCTGCCTCAACAGGAACTTCCAGATGGCTCCCTGCCTGTGTAGATGGGTGATGTGTCCATTTTGTTTGAACTGAGCAGAATTCGCAACAAAGAAAGAATTTAAAGCAAGTGCAAGCCTCAGCCTGAAACCCAGAGTGTGGCACATCCAGGCATCTGGACCAATGCATGCAGCCATGCTGCTGCCAGCTGAGGTATCCAAGAGGTGTGACAGTTGCAAACTCTTACCTCTTCATGCCACTCAACTAAGGATTAAAAGAGAGCAGACTTGCGTGATTTATTTTTAAATTTGCTGTGATTGGAGGGCAGAGGCTACTTGGCTCCTTACCTGACTGTGGACAGTTTGTATTGTCACTTTGCAGAGGTGTGGCTGGCCACTGGAAAAGAGGCAGCACTTGAAAGCTGCCTGGTGACAGTTCTGTCACTCTTGGGTCTTGTATCCTCAGTTTTTCTTTGATACACAGTTATTGTATGCATTTGTGGGGCAATGTGCGATATTTCAATACCCATGTATGGTGCATCTAGATCCTATCCTAGGTAAATTTAAAAGCTCTTCTGAAGGAAGCAGAGAGGGATCCATTTGAAATCCTCTTAAGGCTAGCCTCTTATAATGCCACAAGCATGTCATTCCAGCAGTCTGTGGCCAGCATGGCCTACTTGCTGAGACATTATGAGATATATATATATATATATATATATATATATATATATATATATATATA